GGGATGGAGTTCGGGGGCCAGAGCCCGGGGAGAGGGAACAGGGTGCCAGTCGAGGGAGAGTGTCCCCTGCACCCACTTCCTCCCCAGATTCCGCCCCCACAGAGAGAAGCAGGCATGCGCCTCTCCCAGGGTGACCTCCCCCCTCCCGTGGCACAGTGGAACCCCTCCCCCATTCATTCTTCCCCGGGGCCGATCCTCCCCCTTCCCACGGCACAGGGGAAACACTCCCCCCAGCGTTCCTCCTCCCCTGGGGCCAACCCCCTCCCCCTGTGGCCCGGGGTCAACCCCCCCGCGTTCCTCCTCCCCTGGGGCTGATCCCCCCCACGGCACAGGGGAACCCTCCCTCCCCCGTGCGCTGCCTCTCCTAGGACTTACCCCCCTCCTGGCCGCAGGGAAGCCAGGCTCCAGGTAAGGCATGGGAAATGGAAGGGGCAGGGTTTGGAATTTGGCACCCCATGCAACTTGGCACCCTACGCAGCTGCCTAGTTTGCCTATAGGCACGGGCCGCCCCTGCATTCACACAGTACTGTCATGCTTCCAGAACCAACTAAAGTGAAGGCCTACAAAGATCAAAGAAGATTCTTCAGTCCTTAGTCATTCAAAAATTCCTTCAGGTGTCAGTGAACAAAATTCAGCACCAGAGAAAGTAGATATAATTCCACTTAAAACAATGGAGTTGTGCCCACTTTTCACCATGATTTCAAAGTAATTTCACCCTTTACCATTCCAACTGAATCAGGACTACAGGATTGAGTCCTATTTATACATGTGGTAATATCAAAACACTGGATTCCTCTGATGCACACTAAAAACAGGTGTCTATGGCAACTGAAAGTTAATTTAAATTGAGCTGAATTCGTTACTTAAGAACTCCATAAAATATCTGAGTGACACCAGCTGGTTTGTCATGCCAGTCAAGATAATTAGTTTAAATAGAGTCCAGCTAGACTTGAGACCCAGAGGCAATTATCAGTTATATTTTTCTCTTCTACTTTTGTCAAATATGTCACTAATTTTTTTTTTTTGATCTGAGGAAGTGGATCTGGCCCACGAAAGCTCATCATCTAATAAACCATCTTGTTAGTCTTTAAAGTGCTACATAGTCCTGTATTTTATTTCACTAATTGTGATACTGTAGCACATCTTCAAAAACAGTACCTCCAGGTTCGGTTTCTTGCTGAATGGAATACAAATTGGAGAGAACACGATTAAAGTGAGATACTTTTAAGAACCTTCTTTTGTCAAATATCTGGTCTTTAAAAAATAAAAACAGATGAGTCATAAGGGTTTGACAATGACAGCAAGCACATTGAAACATGCTATAATTACGGCTGAAATACAAGTTCAGATATAGCCTTCTCCCTTTAAAGTTGCTTATATTCCCTGGCAAGTAAGTTTTGTTGACACTTGGGGATCCATCCTCTCAGGTGGCTCACGTCACAGCAGTACCAAAGTACCTACTCTTCTCTTGATGTACTCATGTAGATCTACATTAATGTTACTTTTGAAGCACATGCGTATGCCCATTCAGAAGCTTTCTTGCAGTGGGCAAGAGCCTTGTGCATATTTTAGCACCAATATAGACTTGGACCTTTATAATTCTGCCTGTCTTGAAGAAGATTTCCTGGCCAGAGGGTGAAGTCTATGAAATACAGTTGAGTTGACATTAAAACCTACTCTCATTTCCTGCAAGACAGGTAAGTAGAACTTAAAGCCTCTAGGACTTCTGTCTGCACAATAATGTCAGACTCATCAGGAAATACAGTATGCCCATGCATTAGTCAGATACAGTAAAACAAGCAAAAGGAAGATCACAATTACTAATGACTAGCTTCTTCTTGTTTCCTAGTTGCATTAGCTTGCATTTGTTTCTGTTGAAAGTCATTTTAATTCTAAGGTCCGTTATACCTTTATAGTATTTTTTTTGTCAACCAGCAGTTTAGACAACTCTCACAACAGCAGAATGTAGGACTAAGCATGTTATTTAGCCCACTCCAGATCATTAAAGATTAGGGCTGTCAATTAACGTGCATTAACGCCTATGATTAACGCAGAGCACAATTAATGCCAGGGCATTTCAAAGGGGCAGCGCAGTAGGAGCCTGGGATCAGCTGGAATCCCCAACTGACCCCAGGCTCCAGGCAGCGCTGCCTCTTTGAAACACTGTTGCATTTCAAAGGGGCAGCACCTGGGATCAGCTGTGCGGCGCTGCCCCTTTGAAGCACCAACCTGGCATTTCAAAGGGGCAGCGCAATGCAGCCCAGGATCAGCTGGGGACTCCAGCTGATCCACCTAGGATCACCTGGGGACTCTAGCTGATCTGAGGCTCCTGCGGCGCTGCTCCTTTGAAATGCCAGGTCAGCATTTCCAAGGGGCAGCGCTACACAGAGCCAGGGTTAGCTGGGGTCTCCAGCTGATCCTGTCTCCCACGGTGCTTCCCCTTGGAAACACCGCCGCAGCGTTTCAAAAGGGTAGCCCAACGTGGAGCCTGGGATCAGCTGAAGACTCCAGCTGATCCCAGACTCCCGCAGCACTGTCGCTGCCCCTTTTAAACACCACAGTAGCGGCGTTTCCAAGGGGCAGCGCTACATGGAGCCAGGGTTAGCTGGGGACTCCAGCTGATCCCAGGCTCCCATGGTGTGCCCCTTTGAAAGGCTGGTGCAGCCTTTCAAAGGGGTAGCGCTGCACCGAGACGGGGTTAGCTGGGGAATCCAGCTGATCCTGGGCTCCATACAGCACTGCCCCTTTGAAACACCACCGCTGTGTTTCAAAGCGGTAGCGCTAGCAGAACCCGGGATCAGCTGGGGACTCCAGCTGATCCCGGGCCCCTGCGGTGCCACCCATTTGAAACACCCCTGCTGCATTTCAAAGGGGCAGCTACACTGAGCCTAGGGTCAGCTGAAGAATCTAGCCTATCCTGGGCTTCTGCAGCCCTGCCCTTTGAAATGCTGCAGGGTTTCAAAGGTGCAGCGCACACAGTTAATCGCGATTAAACTTTTTAAATCATGCTATTAATCGTGGTTAATTTTTTTAATCCCTTGACAGCCCTATTAGAGATATTAATAACAAACCTAATGTAATATCTGCAAGAGCCTAGTATAGTACTCCGTACCTGGATACATTCTTATTTATCAAATAATGTTTCAAAGTAGGTTACAGTTGTACTGTAGAACACACATGGAATATATTCCATTCTAATAAAAACTGCATAAATATGAAATACATGACATTTCACATTGATTCAGCATGCTGTCTGGAACGGGCTGCTCTCCCTAGTCCCCATTACTTAATTATAACTACAACAGTTTATGGTGAATTTGGTCCTTCTCACTTGACTAAATACAAACCCATGGTCTAAAGAACTATAAATTGATTCTAAAATGTAAAAAGTTCCCTCTATTCGTTTTACGCAATTGATTTATAACAAGCACTGCACATCATGATGCTGACAGACAATGGAAGTAACTGGCACCCCCAACAGCTTTGACAGACCACCCAATATTTTTCAGTGAAGGATGTTGCTATCAGTAAGCCAGATCTCTCTACCCCATAACCAATCCCCTGAATTCTTGAGATCCCTTATTTGATCTTTTCTTTTTTACATGCACTTATTTTAATACCTCTATTAGTGAACATATAATGAAAAAGATCATGCCTGAAAAAGAATTTTTTAAATTTGTTTTTTAAAGCTTTTCATATATATTTTGACAAGAAAAGGCAGCCATGTTTCTTTTCTTAACAATTAATTATTTTTCTCCTCTATAGAGCAACTGGATGCTGCATAGGATCATAAACTATGGGAAAATTTGTATTTGAACCTAAGAACTGAAATCCAGGATATCCCAAGGTACTGAGATAAGCAAGAAAAAAAATACAACAAAGGCAAATCAATGACGCTATTAATAAAAGGAGTTGTGTGTGGGATAATTAATTCATAGAAAAAGATTTGTATTCTGTTATGAATACTTCAGGAACTAGAAAGCACAGTGTACAGTGCAAATGTAGAACTGCCAGATAGGACTCACATTTATGAGCTTTCAGTCCTTCAAAGGAAACTGGTCCATATTCATAGTACTCATACTCCCAAGTATAATCAGAGTTAGATAAAGCCTGCTGAGCTGTTCGGTTGGAGATTAACCTATGGGCAGACATCGCTAACCTGTACAGATATATAAAATGTGAAAAGAAAATGTTAGTATATAGGAATATTTCTAACATGGCATATATTTTTATAACCCATTTATCATCTTTTGGTTTTCCCTCTCTCTTGTGCATTTTATACAAAATGCCCCACCCTTGCACAAAGAGCTATCTCCCACCTATTCCTTTCAAAGATAATTCCACCTCTCTTTCAGCTAGAATCACCATGTTCCATCCCATTCCTTCCCTGCCTTATCCCTTCTCCATGCCAATCACCAACCTGTATAGAGCTTCCTTTTAATAGACAGGTGGAATATATAAAGGTCTCCACAAATGTTCCTGTTAACACACAAAAGTTGCCAAAAGTTTATCAAACAAATAGAATATACCTCCTCTAGGTTGAATACAATAAATACAAATGAACTGTGGGGAATGGAAGTCCAGAGGTTAGGTAATGTAGTCTTGGAGTTTTACAGTGGCACAGTTGCAGGTACACCCTTGGGGAGTAGACAGAGATAATTTCTGTCACTATAGAAAACCTGCCCCCTCAAGAAGCAGTAGCTAGGTTCTTCTGTCAATCTAATAATTTCTATACCACAATTTAGGAACTTTTCACGTCTCTCAGCTGCATAGGCAGGCTGACCTCAATTTTAGCCTGGTGTCAACTAGGTCTCAGTTGCATCAGGCTTTGTTTTCAATATGTCTCCACAGCAAGAAAATATAAATCAAGCTAGGATGTAAAATCCTGTTTCATTGGCTAACTGATTAAACATATTGTTTAACCAGTTAACCGATAAAAGGATGGGAGCAGGAGGGGGAGGCTGCTAGGCTGGGCCGAAGCAGCCCCTGTCCATGGCAATCTGCCCCCCCACCCTAATTAACATTAACTGGTAAGTCTTCACATCTCTAGATCAAGTCTAATCGTTCTGAAGGAAAATTCCTGAAAAGCTTTAAATATTGTGGAGTGGGAGATGAGTTTCCTCAGATGGAGAAGAAAAAGATCCTTAAAAAAACCACACACACACATAGGGTTGCCAGATGGTTTCAACAAAAATACCAGACATACTTGACATTACATCACAATCTACATTACATCTTATTTAGAAAATACCGGACATTTATATTTTCTCATTTTGTTTCCCGAACAGAAAGCTCAAATACTGGACTGTCCAGTTCAAAACCAGATACCTGGCAACCCTACACACATACAGGATCAGCTTTCACATTGTGGCCACAATCCAGAAAAGTGCTTAAATTAAGTCCCACGGAAGTCAATAAGTGCTGAATTTGGCCCTTTGTATTTTGTAATTTTGTGCCTAGTACAATGTATAAAACAAATTAAAGTGAGGTATTTCCTTTAACGCTTACAGAGGTGCACATTTTAAATAAATGTACAAGAACAATTATTTCAGATTTTTACAAAAGAGATCTGAGAGCCAAGTCCTGTCATGATTAAAAAATATATAATCTGTAAACTTCCAGAATATTAATTCCAAAAACATTGGCACTGGGAGTTCATTTTGACATATAGTTCCAATAGTAAGCCATGTACGATTTTAACCTACATAAGATTCCACAGGCTTTAGGAGCTAAAGGGTGAATCCAAGTAGGGAGGTGATTCATCTTTAAAATAAATTAAATAATCATGAAAAGATATCAAAACCATTTTTAAATGAGAAGAGGTTTTATAAATTGTCATGCTTTTGCTATAAAAACAAATTCCTTTATTCAATTATTCAAATTAGCTGTACTGTTTTGGTGTTATATAAAAAGCAAATAAGCTGAAAATAATTCATACAAAAAGACTTCCATACAAAAAGAGTTATACAAAAGAGTCAATACATCAAAGACATCTACGGTCATGATCCGTCTTTTATTCACATAGAACAGTCACTTTGGCTTCAATATTCTACTTGTATGAGTAAGGATAGCAGGACTTAGTGCTTACTTTGGCTTCAATCCTACAATAGAAATCAATAAAGCTCCACATCGAAGTAGAGATTTGCCAGTGTGCATCACATTGCACGATCAGGACAGTACATTATTACAAGTATGTTAACTGTTCTTTCACATTTAAAGTAATTTTCTACAATAAGAACATACTACAAAATAACCCACAAAGAGAGAGCTTCCATATGCCAAACCCATCTAATAGCTAAGATTTCAACTGGAATTGCAAATTTCTGAAGTATTAAGAAAAAGGACTAAGTATTTTTCAGGGTTATACGAGAATAACAGAAGGTAGAAATGTTGGTCCAAAAATACCTCACTCATTTTGCCAAGTACAAGCTTTGAAAATGAAGCAAACTTCCCATCCCTGGAATCCTCACAAACGTGTTTGCATCATAAAGCATACTGTACCACCTGGCCAAAAATGGTTATATCCAAACACTCTCCTATACAATGCACATTGTTCTTATTCTGGGTAATGGACCATTGGGAACATCAGTTCCTTAGTCTTTAGACTTAGACAAGAGAGAAATTCAGCTTGCTGAATAAAGAAGGACAGTGAGCAGGCAGAATACCAGCTTCTCCTGAAAACTCCTGGAGGCAGCACTTGTTCTGTTCTTTCATGCTACTCAGGTAAATTGCTGTGCTTTACCTCCCTCTCTTGGGCCACAATCAGAGATATGTTCGCTATGCATCACTCCCACTGAAGATAGGGAAGGAAGGAATCTCAGGCTCAAGACCATTTTGTATGCTGTGCCACAGAAGGGAATCAGATAAAAAGAGAGCTGCGAGATTGCTTTTGTTCTCAGGAGGTGACCCAGGTTCTCGCATGCTTGTCATTTATATGCATTTTCCAAGACTACAGTCCTTTCCATCTCCCTTCATATTTTCCCCTTTAGTTCCCTACAAGTCCCAGCACATACAGATTGAAATGATAATGCTACCAAGATTTGTGTGTTAGATGGAGCACAAGGATTCTCCCAAGAAAGGGTACAAAGAACAAATTTCTGGCCCTGGAATAGTTTTTTGGTCAAATAGGGTTGTATGCAGCATGCCAAGGAAATGTTCCTCTTTATCATATTTCTGTATAATTGGTATCCAAATTCCACTCAAAATGAAAATATTAACCTTCATGAATAGCCCAACTGAACATCATATTCATTTATTTTTCTTCATTAGCATTTGCTTGCTCTCATCTCTTTCATAATACATAAGTGCAACAAAGTGAATTGGTGTAAATAACAGAAGGCATAAGGCTTCCCTTTGTTTGAAAGACAAAAAAAATAGCTGGGTAGTTGGTATTGGCTTAGTTTTGTACTCAAGTGAACGTCTCCATAATACCACATCTGCTTCAGTTAACTTGGGCTATGTCTACACTGGTGGGTTCTTGTGCAACAACAACTGTTCTTGCGCAAGAATCCACAGTGCCCTCCCTCTCTTGCGCAAGAAGATTTACAGTATGGCGTGGTAAGAGAGGGCTTCTTGTGCAAGAGCTACGCTCTTTTTTAACAGGTGTAAGCTCTCTTGCGCAGGAGCTGTTGCGCAAGAGGGCAGTGTGGATTCTCGGCAGGGATTTCTTGCACAAGAAAGCCCTATGGCTAAAATGGCCATCAGAGCTTTCTTGCGCAAGAGAGCGTCCACACAGCCATGGGCACTCTTGTGCAAAAGCACAGCTTGCAAATGGCAGTGTGGACGTTTTCTTGCACAAGACTTCTTGCACAAGAACCCTTGCGCAAGATATTCTTGCACAAGAAGCCGCCAGTGTAGACATAGCCTTGGAGTGCTATTTTTATTGGCCCAGGAAAACCACTGGATAATACCCATCTTCTTGTTAAGTTAAATATGATATTCTTTTACTGGCTTTGAGGTGTGGGGGGAGGCAGATCATTCTTAACCAGGGTCTATTTATTAATGATCAAGTAACCTCCTAGCCAACTATCACCCAAGAAATAGAACAAGCACTAGATATAAACAAAAAAAGAGCAAGGCAATTAGAAAAGCAAAGGTAAGACTAGGTTCTTTGCTCTTAAGCTACAAGAGTTGGTATTTAACAGTTATTCCTTTATTCAAAGTAGTAATCACTACATAACAAGTGTCCGCTGAAGTTTCCTAATTTGTCTCAGCGGTACAGAGCCCCATCTCCCATGATAGAGGCTATGTCTGCACTGTGGGGTTTGTTTTTATTCTGAAAAAGATACGCAAATTGGTATAACTTGAATTGGTTAATACTAGAAGATTTACCCAGCATTGCTCAGATTCTTGACTCGATTTTTTTTTTCATTTAAATCATTGTTTTGGGGTGGGGCTGAGGGTGAGGGGGTCAGTATGCATACTGCCTCAGGGAGAGAAGACAACCCCAGCCCTACCTCACCTCAGCAGATTGGGGCCAGGTGAGAAGCTCCTCTCCATGGCCACTGTAGCTCCAGTGGGCACAGCTGGGGGCAAGGTCCATGTCCCCTGGCTGAGACAGGCCATATTAGTCTGCCCTCTGTGCCCCCCTCAACCTGAGAGAGGACTGAGCAAACTGTACACTTCCCTCTCCCCTCCTCCCTGTTTGTACAGAAACACTGCTGGCTGTTTCCCTTTGTCAGGGAGCCCCCTGCCTGCCCTCTGTAAGCACTTTCCCTTTGCTCCCTGACGAAGGGAAACAGCCAGCAATTTTCCTGTATTAAGCAGTCGGGGAGCGCTTCAGCCTCGCCCTCCGCCACTTACAGGGCACTTAGGGTATGTCTAGACTACATGCCTCTGGCGACAGAGGCATGTAGATTAGGCTACCCGGCATAGGAAAAAGAAGCGGCGATTTAAATAATTGCCGCTTCATTTAAATTTAAATGGCTGCTGCTCTGAGCCGATCAGCTGTTTGTCGGCTCAGCGCGCTAGTCTGGATGCTCCGCGGTCGACATCAAAGGCATTTGTCGACCTCCCCAGTATGCCTCGTGGGATGAGTTTATCCACTTTGTATCTACTTCCTTCAGACTACCTATGTGATTCTGCCACTTTAGGTAATCACTCTTTTTGGGGTCTAAAACCAGGACAGGGATGTCCTTCACAAGCTAGGTTGATTTCACTATCCTGGGCAATATCCTTCAGTTATGAGGGAAAGACATGGTTAAAGTAGGCAAGACCGCCTTCAGTCTCCTGTTGCAGGATCAAAAGAAAGTGATTCTTCATTATATCAACCTCATGATTTGATTACCCACTATATTAAATTTGATAGTTATATTGATAGTTATGATAGTTATATTGATAGTTATGATAGTTATATTGTTTTAATTTCTAATTTGTTGAGTGAGATTTCTAGTAGTTTTCATCTTAATTCTAAAATTAAACTTTAATATCTGTTTGTTCTTTTAATAAAACCAATAGAAGTATAGAGGCAAGTTGTTGGTTTT